CGACCATTGTTTAGTTCTTTTCAATTTCATTCTGTATGAAAGAAATAACAAAACAAAACTGTTTACATAGATCATAATCATAATTTAATTCGGACTGCAGACTCTGGTGAAATATAAGACTTTGCCAGTGCGAAGTGAAGGAACACTGCGAAGGAAAGGAAAGGAGGATTGTGTTGGATGTGAAAGTCGATCATTTTACCCAGCCCAATTTGACCTTATCCTTATATAAGAGTAATCTTTAACTCTTGTCAGCGTTTCTTCTCTGCTCGTCAGTGTTTTCATAAAAGATAAAAATAAAACATGTTGGAGATGGGTTTTTTTTTACAAATACACTTGTCAAACAATATAGCATTTTTATAATCCATAATTTCATCAAGAGTCTCTTCAACAAGGAATTGCAACGTCTGTTCCTGCCGCTAAATATTAAACATCAGATGGAAAATATCACATCTGTGTGATTACTTTTCCCCTAAAGCCGGACATATAGGATTAAATCTAGTCTGGTTTTGTAAATGTTTTAAATCCTCTAGTGCTTACAGATCAGGATGTTCAGATGACAGGAGACACTTACCAACAGATCTTAATCAGGGCCTACAATAGATGTAGTACAGATGTACGTACACACAAGAGCACACAACCACACACACACACCATATTTCAAATGGTGTTTGTACATCTATGCCTCATATCCTCATTTTGATATATGGTATCTGTCATACACGCACACACACACACACACACGTATACTGTATAACGAAAAATTGTCTTAAGTGGACGTACACAGTTTAGAAATAAAACGCATATGTAATAATATATTTGATGATGTGGATTAGCTCTTGAAGTGACAACAGCTTAATATCCCTGCTGCTGTTCAAACAATCACTCATTGCTGTTGAGAGATTTTAATGATTATTCATTGTTATCAAGACAAAAGCCCTTTAACTGTGTTTCTCGAGCAATAAAGTTCTGTGAAATTTTAAACCATCTTTAAACCATAATTCTTTGCTGTCTGTTTGGCAGGTTTTATATACAGGAACTGCACAGCTCATGGCTGGAGTGACCCATATCCTCCATATGATGAGGCCTGCGTATTTGAAGATGATTCAGAGTCGGGGACTGTGGTGAATATATTCCCTTAATACATGCATGATTGACAGCAATGACCATAATTCTGAAAACGTTAGCTGTGTGGAGTGGCTCAGTCTGATGTATGACTTCCAGTGCATGTGTGTGTACTTGAACTTCACATGATGACCACCAGTGGTCGCTGTGTTTTGTTTTTGCACAATGCGTTGACGTCCTGATTTATGTTATTTCGTGTTCTTTTTTTAGGATTATTTTAAAACGAAGCAGGTCATCGACTTCTTCAAGCTGAAATAAATAAAATAATAATAATAATTACACAGAATATAGGTACATAGTAGTCTTTTTTTGACCTTTAAGATTTATAAGAGCTTAAGACAGTTTTAATCAAAATGGTAAATCTGGTGGAATATAGTTTGATTTCATTGATGCAGTTTGTCTATCGATGTAAATGACTTTTCTCTCAGACTTGGCCTTTATTTTTCAGACAACTTACTTATCGACTTTGAAACAGCTGTACTCTGCAGGATACGCAACATCGCTTATATCACTCATTACAGCCGTTATCATATTCACATGCTTCAGGTAACACTTACATATTATCTTTATGAAATCCAAAAGCCAGTGTTGTAGTACTCGAGACTCGGACTCGGTCTCAAGACCATATTTTAATGGTCTTGGTCTTGTCATGGACATGGACTCGTGTCCATTTGGACTCGGAATTGACTCGTACTCGAAATTTTTTTTTTTTAGGACTCGGAATTATTCCCGAGTTCACTCGAGTTCAATTAAAAATATTTTTCATGATTATTAATGTATGTTAATAAAATATTTCTTTAAATTGATTGACACGCCCAGTGATTGGTGATTTTCTAGTGCGCAACTGCCAAATTGTAATAAAATTACTTTTAACACCACCTACTATGTGGCCTTTTTACCCTAAACTGATCATATTTTTTAAACTCTAAGTAAATTCAGTAATAATAAAAAAAAAAGGATTTCTCTAAGTAAATAAAAGTAAATTAGGTAATCAACCCTTACTGGTCTCGGTCTCGACTCGGACTCAACTCTCTCTGGTCTCGGTTTCGACTCGGACTCGAGTGAGGTGGTCTCGACTACAACACTGCCAAAAGCAATTGTGATACACAAAATGGGATCAGGGTGAATGAAAATATTGTCAATATTCAGTATGCAATCTTCAGAACAACATAGCCTAATATTAATTATATTAAAAACGGTTTGTTCCGATTCTGATTGGTCAAAAGCTGTGCTTTATTCATGATAAAACCATAGACAGTATGGATAAAACATGACTATGACCGCTTCACCCAAAATTGCAGTTCCCATGTTGTTTTTATTTAAGCTTGGAACGTTGTTGCTGTTCACGGTCAGGGACTATTTTTCTCTAGCGGAAGGAAGGCTTTTAGTGATTTTACCTCACGAAAGTTTCACTAATACATTTAATTTACTTTAATAGTTTTATTGTGTGGTAACCGTTTTATAAACGCAATAAGGTACTCGAGGGAAGTGCTGTATCGTGAATAAGTAACGGCTACGCTTCGCATCCTGCCTAACAACGCCCCAGCCGTTACTCATCTCATTCACGATACAGCACAGCCTCTCGTACCTAATTTCTCACTTAAATTATATTAATGAGTACCCTACCCATCCTGCTCTGTTCATTACAGGAAGTTTCACTGTACCAGAAACTACATACACATCAATCTGTTTGTTTCCTTCATTCTGCGGGCTAGTGCAGTCTTCATCAAAGACGCTGTTCTGTTCTCAGATGAAACTCAGGACCACTGTTTAATGTCCACGGTGAGTGAGAATGTTTCACTTTCCTCTCAAAAAGTCACTTTAACTCACATAAAAGAATACAGGTGAATTCATAATAGAGACAAAAGCATAACGTTATCGGTCACAGTCAAAAAATGAACCACCGCATATCCTACTAATCGAGACGGAGGCTGGGACTAACAATATCAGGGAGCAACACTGTTCATGCAAAGCTGGGAAGGTCTCTATTCACAAAGCAAACGGACTACACGAGTATAACATTGCATTTATTAGCAGCGTGTGCTAGCGTATCAACAACCGGTATGAGAACCGAAATCATAACTTAAAACATTATAAAACGGTCTAACTAGTATAACTTCACAGTAAGGTTAGAAGCAAAAAAGATGTGCTTGTTGATCTTTGAGGGGTTTAGCTGACTGAGGATGTCCATTCAGTTTAATCCAAAGACGACACTTTGACTTCGGTTTTGGGAAGGGAAAACACAGACACCCCCCTCCAACCTCTCTGGGAAACGCATATCTGTGTTACAAATGCCCCAGGCACAACGTTTAACCATATTTTTGCTAAAACTACGACGGTAATAGCCAGCCGAGACCAAAAATAAGAGACGCCTGTGTTGAAAGTCAATGGAGTGCTGTGAAAAAGTGTCGGACCTCTGTCTGTGGGGGAGCTCGTTCTTGGCTGCGCTGTGATTGGTCAATCTACATTCTAGGGCGTGGCTTAGCCAAAGGCGTTGATTAAAAGATTGAATTTAATATTTGGCAATAACATAGCATATAAAAAGATTTATCATTTTTACCTGGGAACACCACAAATGTCAAAATGATCAAAAAACATTTGAGAAGTTGTTAGCAAGCAAAGTCTTAAGGCCGCAGGTCAATATAACGATAATGATAAACTATAGTTCTAAATATAATAGAATAGCAATGTTCACACTATAACTATAACGGCATAGAGATATAATATCATTGGAATCACTTTCAGAACGTTTTTTTTTTCTCCAGCTGATGAAGGATAAAGGTTGACAGCCAATCAGAATCCATTCCACTGTTAAGAGTTCGAGTATTTAAATCGGCAGAAGACAAAACTGCAGTACGCTTAGAATAAACGGAGCATTATCGTTCACAATAACTTATTGTTATGGTTTCCTTTATAGTAATCGTTCTTGATGAGGCCTTTAGTCAACCGCGATAACATAAACTTGCATTTTCAATACAAAGAAAGTCCTATCCAGGTCTAAAAGAGGTCTATTTAAGTTACATTTTTAATAATAATATTTTAATTGAGCTTTATTTCAAATGACCAAAAACAGTTTTTTAATGTTATTTAACACGGCTATGAATTGACGCGTTCCAGTGCAGGTGAAGGGTGTGCTCTGATTCTGGACCTGTGTGTGTTGTTGTTCACAGATAGCGTGTAAGACTGCCGTAACCTTCTTCCAGTTCTGCATCCTCAGTAATTACTTCTGGCTGCTGGTGGAGGGCATGTACCTGCAGACGCTCCTCGCCCTCACCTTCGTCTCGCAGAGGAAGTACTTCTGGTGGTACATTCTGATAGGATGGGGTTGGTACATTCTGAAAAATGGCTTCCAGGAGAAAGCCTGTGTAATCAGATTAAAAGATCTCAGTTAGTCTGCCAGGATTTGAGTGCTAGAGGAACTATGAGTATACAAAAGAGCAGTTTGTTACTTTTAAAAGTAACGCTTAAAGGGATAGGCCTACTTCACCTCTGGAAAGATGAATGTGTATTTAAAATGGGTCATTTATGTTGAAGAAATGTGAAATTATTTTTGAATTTGGAGCTTTCTAGACTGAGAAAAGCCAGAAAATGTATGTTCGGCTTATGTGGATAAAAGACAACAACTCCCAGAATGCACTTGCTTCGCTGCCCTATGAGGCCACGCCTACTGGTAACAGAGCGCAGTAGTTAAACAACAAGTCTAGGCCACTAGTGATGAGTCTGCCCGAAAATGTGTTTCGAGATCGCCCAAAATGTCCGGGATTCGGCTTTTGCGATCTACAGTCGCCATTCATCATGTTTAGTGTGGCGAGCGGGACGAGTGAGGGCCGCGGGAGAACGGCGCGAGGCCAGTGGCGTGATTACCGCTGAGCGACACCTGTGAGACGCACCGGTCTCGTATCTCTCACTGAGGAGCGGGAATTTTCTAAACAATGTTAAAACGCACATCAACCGATCACTTGTTTAGCGTTCATGTAAACACTACATTCAGATTCACCAATCGGACTGAATTCGGTTAGATTGAAACAAAAGCTGTGCATGTAAACAATGAATGGCGACTGCAGAAAGCAAAAGCTGAATCCCGGACATCGACGGCCGGACATGTCCGGGAAAAAAGGATGGTAACCCCGACTACTCCAGCTTTCTCTGCTAGCTTAGCTTTTTAAAAAAGATGGCCGACACTATGTGTTCATTCTGTGAGTGATATCGCCCTCTATGGGCGGGTTGAGGACATGCAGGACAGACACACTACTGACTGTAGTCTTTAGCCTCTGGACAAAAAGTCCTCCATTGACACAAAATGACGATTTTTGCATCATCAGAGGATTTTTTTCAGACAAAAAACACAAATCTCTCGTCTCAGGGGGATATAAGGGTGGAAAGCACGGTAATTCGAAAATACTACACGTTTTCTACTAATACAAAGCTTAATGCTAAATCCTGAAGTATCCCTTTAAAAATATTGTGTTAACCTGGGTTCCCACTGTAGAATCTAGAATTTCAGATTGTATGAATATGATCCCAGCTGTAAGCCATGTCAAGACACGGTAAAAACAGACGCATGAAAGAAGAAAGTTTTACCATTTTATTTTGCATATGGGCCCGGGACTGAATTGCTACGCCACAAAGTCGTTTTTGCATATTAGTTTAATTGAATAGGATCATCGAAGGTCAGCAGCAAAGACATTGGTCAATAAAGTGAGATTAAACACATTAAGTATTTTGAGTTTGCATTTCACTGTTTAATTATTTTGAGGAATACTGAATCTGTTTTTGTGTAAGCGAAGTATCAATAAATACTAAATACCTGGAAAAAGTAATCTGATTACATAACTCACGTTTCCCCCAACACTGTGTCACATTATTGAGGTCTGTTAAATCTGTTTTGAAACAAATGATATGTTAAAAACCTGCAGGTTGCAAGTGGATTTGGAGAAAGTAAGCATTGTCTGTTTTTTTTGTGTGTGTGTAGGCGTCCCGTCAGTTGTGCTGATTGTGTGGGTGTTGACCAGACAATTCTTTGATAACAGAGGGTATGTGACATCTTCAACTTTAAAACGATCATGAAACTAAACAAAAATGACACTATTTACTTTCTTAATGCACTTTCCTGGTCTGATTGTGAATTATTTATTGGAGAAATGTTTGTCTTTGTAATATTTCATCAAAAAGTAGAGCTTGTGACATCTCTGACATGAGTCATGACTTTCCTTTTTAGAAAAGACTCCCCAGTTGGGTTGCAAGTACAGTTTATTATTGTCACAATAAATCATTTTCTCATGTTTGCAGATGTTGGGATGACACAGATAATATGAATATCTGGTGGATCATTAAAGGACCGATCACAGCATCACTGTTTGTGAGTTGTGACGTTGTATGTCAGATTTGTGAGATTGACAACATTAATTTACATTTTATAACATTAATTCAAACAAATATTATTTTCTCTGTCTGACAGGCTAATATCATCATCTTCCTTAATGTGATTCGAATCTTGGTTCAGAAATTGAAAAGTCCTGGAGTTGGTGGCAATGACACGGGTCACTTCATGTGAGTCAAATAATAATAATGTGCAAGAAGTGCTGAAAATGAACGTTTTGCCAGACCTGTTAATGTGGTGAATTAAAAACGATCATGTTTTTTTCTTTTAAATATTTGCTTTTGTCAAACCAAATAGTTATTTCAGTCTTACAGCAAACAGTATATAACATTATGTCACTCAGAATTACTTACCAGCCAGTTTTCTTGTCTTTCATTAAAACATATTGAGTGTAATCATAATTATTTCATAATTATATTTCACTACAGAATTTGCTGAAGTCAAATAAAACTGTTTTGACATTTTATTGAAAAAATTGTTTGCCTAAAATGCACATTAAATGGGATTAAAAGACACTTTCAGTACAAACTGCAAACTGTTCAAATGGCTTTAAACGATTCCAGATGATGAATAAGGGTCTTATCAAGCGAAACGATCGCTCATTTAATAAATAAATAACAAAGTTTAAGTTTTATAAGCTCAGATGCTCGCCTTGTTTTGTTCTGTGACGCACGTTTGTGACTCTCCTGTTCAAACTCGTTCATCAAAATGTCTGAATCTTTTCGAAACGAAACGAACAATTGACTCAGAAAAAGATACTCTTTTTGCATTTTTCTCTCTGATTCGATCATAAACTAGAGCATTACGTACCGTTTCACGCCGGCTTCACTGTAATATGTACTGTTCTTAAATTACTATATGCTAGATGTTACATGCATAATACTGTGCATCTAGTAGATGTGCTCTGAATTATTTGTATGATGGCATTAATATTGACTCATAGTTATCTTTGATCATCACACAGGAGACTGGCCAAGTCCACCTTGTTTCTGATTCCTCTGTTTGGGATGCACTACACTGTGTTTGCCTTTCTGCCAGAAAACACGGGTGAAATTATCCGATTCTACATCGAACTCGGTCTGGGCTCCTTCCAGGTACAGATTAATTCATCTTTTATGAAGAAATGATCGGCTAAGTATTATTTTACAGATTCAATAATGCGGAAATGTCTGATTTTATTCCTGAAAGTCTTTTTTTCCCCTTCCCCAGGGCTTTGTGGTGGCACTTCTTTATTGTTTTCTTAATGGAGAAGTAAGTATTCCCATAATGGAAAACTTCAACATGATATTGGTAAAATATAGACGCTTAGAAAACGTCTTTAAAGCTACACTGTGTGATTTTTACCCCATCTAGTGGTGAAAAGGTATATGACCATCCAGTGAATATTAGTTTCTGTTCCTCTCAATTCCGATTTCGTTTTAACTTCTACGGTGGCCAATGTAGTCCAAGATTAACATGGCTTCCAGTTCGACCTCGTCCATGAGTGTTAACTCAAACGTAAACGAAAGGCGAAGCTTGAATTAATGGGTATGTCCCTCTTTGGCTAATGTACTTTCAAGATGGAGGGTCAACTATACACTCACGAAAATACTTTATTACTTGAACGAAGTAAATATACATTAATGGGCACATATTTTTTTGAAAGGACTAAGTGTTTTTAGCTAAGAATAAACTAAAAGAGTTACACAGTGTAGCTTTAAGATACTGACTTTTTATCAGATGTTTGTTCACATCATGATGCTTTCCAGACAAAGTGCTCTTAAAGGAGTAGTTCACTTTTGAAAAACTTTTGCTGATAATTTACTCACCCCCATGTCATCCAAGATGTCCATGTCTTTCTTTCTTCAGTCGAAAAGAAATTAAGGTTTTTGATGAAAAAATTCCAGCATTTTTCTTCATATAATGGACTTCAATGGGAACCAAACAGTTCAAGGTCCAAAAGACACTTTCAGTACAAACTGCAAACTGTTCAAAGGGCTTTAAACGATTTCAGACGATGAATAAGGGTCTTATCAAGCGAAACGATCGCTCATTTAATAAATAAATAACGAAGTTTAAGTTTTATAAGCACAAATGCTCGCCTTGCTCTGTTCTGTGATGCACGTTTGTGACTCTCCTGTGCAAACTCGTTCATCAAAATGAACAAATCTTTTTCTGAGTCAATTCGTTCGTTTCGTTCATTGAATGAAGATTCAATCATTTTCATCAACAAACGTGCGTCACAGAAAAGAGTAAGGCGAGCATTGACAAGAACATGTCATGTCAGTCTTATACACACCCCTTCAAGTAAAGTGTTACCATACTTTCTCTCCTCCTTCAGGTACAGGCAGAGTTGAAGCGCAGGTTATGGACGTGGCAGACCCAGACTCATCTGAGCCCCAGTAAAAAGCGTCGGGTCACTGTTACTCAGATCATGATGCATGAGACTGCTCATCCGCAGACTGACATCTGCAACGGCTACATCACGTCTGTGTGAACACACCCGGAGGGTGCAGGTGGAAAGACATGCTAAAGAGCTTCCCGCTCAGCTCCGGAGAGTGCAAGACGGTCACATGAGAGGAAACAGGTACCCGTGCAGCACTTATCAAGGTCATGTTGAAAACACCAGATGTTAGAGTTTGTGACAGGCTTGATTTGATTGAGGACCAGCTGATAATGAAATGGCCTGTTCCTGATGGTGGCTTTTTTGGCGAATGGCTGATTAACGTTCGACAAATCTGATTGCATTTGATTTTGGTATGCAAATGAGAGTGATTATAAAATGTTAAGAAGTTTTATTCACATCCTCATTCCAAGTCAAATGAGCTAGATGGCGTAAACTGATAACACAATTCACATTTATCAGTTTGGAGGCATTTCATTTTTACAGTTATTAATAAGCTATTGATTATTGCTGATGGCAAGATGTGCCATAATGCTTGTTTTTAACTTAAGAATTGTTTTTAAATGAACACTGTACATTGACAGGAACTGATAATAATTGTGCATATCGATATCTTCATCATCAGTTTGATTTAAGTGTGCACAAAGATTGGGGTCAGTCAAATTTTGTACAATTTTTTTGAAAGAAGTCTCTGCTGCTCACCAATGCTATCCTTATTTAATAATAATAAAAAATGGAAATATTGTGAAATATCACTACTTTTTTTCTATATGAATATATTTTCAAATGTAATTCAGCATCATTACTGATGTCAACAGCGACAGTCACATGATCCTTCAGAAATCATTCTAATATGCTGATTTGCTGCTCAAGAAACATTTATTATTAATATCAATTAGAGCCCGACCGATAAAGGATTTAGAAAGCCGATACCGATACAAATATTTTTTGGTTTTAAAATCCGATATTCCGATATATCGGCCGATATTTTTTTATTTCAGAAACGCGCAACAAAACATTAACAGATTTCCCTAACATTAGTTATTTGGAGTTATTTATGAGTTTTAACTAAAATAATATGTAATATGATGATGCATTTTAAAAAGAAACTTGATTCTTTTATTGTCTCAACAGAACAGACTGATGATATTGGCATTAGCTTTATGGTTAGCTATGAGTGTTTAGCTTGCCAACAGGAACGGTGTAGAGTGCCCTCTGGTGGACAAACTATACAACTCCAACACTCATGACATGGTTCAAGCGTGTTTCGTCCGTTTTTTTTTTATTTTTTAAATATTCATTTATCAGCCATTATAACTGCCGATACGGATAGTTTGGAAAATGCCTAATATCGGCCGATAATATCGGCCTACCGATATATCGGTCCGGCTCTAATATCAATGTTGAAAACAGTTCTTCTGCTTCATATTTTTGAGGTAAACCGTTATACAGTTCAAAAGAACAGCATTTATTTAAAAATAAATCGTTCGTAACATTATAAATGTCTTCTTTACTGTCAATTTAATGAATAAAAATAGCCTATTCATTTCTTTCAAAGAAAATCTTACTGACCCCATTCTTTTAAATGGTATTGTACTTCTGCAGACATTACAGCTGAATACCAATAAGTGGAGCACTTAGACTTTAAAAAAAGGGAATCTTCAGAAATGTCAAGTTATGTTGAAATGTTACACTGAGAGCAATGTTTACAGCTTGAAAAATATGTACAGTATTGTACTGTAATTTATTTGAACTTTGTACCCCTTTTAGAGATGCTGACAGTTTATTTTTATGTTTTTCCCGACTGACACAGTTCTTAAATGTTTGCGTTTTGTATGAAATATATGTATTAGATCAAATTACAGCTGACTATTTTAATATTTAATATATTTATGAAAATATTTAAATGTATCCAGCATAGCTTATATTACGGTTACTACTTTTACTATTTTACTTGATTTTTTTTATTTCTAATAATAAAAAAAATGCATTTGCATGGAGGTGTAGACCTTCCCAAAACATTTGTCTTTTCATCAAATTTCATTCAAGAGTCATTTGGTTCATTCAACGAACGAAATGACTCGAAAAAAAAGATTTGTTCATTTTGATGAACGAGTTCGAACAGGAGAGTCACGAACGCGCATCACAGAAGCATTTGTGCTTATAAAACTTTTTTATTTTATTTTATATTTTTATTTTATAAAAGTTTTTTATTTATTTTATTATAAAATGAGTGATCGTTTCATTTGATAAGACCCTTATTCATCCTCTGGAGTCGTTTAACCCCATTTGAAGCTGCACTGAAACTCTCATTTGGACCTTGAACCATTTGGTTCCCAATGAAGTCCGTTATATGGAAAAAATCCTGGAATGTTTTCATCAAAAACCTTAATTTCTTTTCGACTGAAGAAAGAAAGACGTGGACATCTTGGATGACATGGGGGTGAGTAAATTATCAGCAAAAGTTTTTTTAAAAAGTGAACTACTCCTTCAACAGCCAACCATATTTATACGGTATCTCTGACACATGTATACATACATAAAAAACTACACAAATTCCGTAAATTCAAGAGTTGTATGTCAAGAATGGAATTCAGACACGTACAAAAATGTTCACAGTTCAAACATAGACATCATCTCTACATCAAAGCAGAAGAAACAGCAGGCAGCTTTACAGAGCAGCTGAATGTACAATACAGTTGTTGTCCGGGTGTTACATTCAGACTGAAATGAGTTAGTCCACAACATGAAGACGTCTCAAAGAAGACACAATGAAACTTTGACAGACAACCCTCGTTCCTCAAATATACAGCGCTCAATTATTCTATGAATTAAAAGCGTCATCTACTGGCAGATAGATGTATTACAAGCACAAGAAAACACGTCTGTAACAGCTTTGAGACATGGTCGTTACCTTCCGAGCGCTCACACTCAGAATGACGGCTGGTGTCAAGAACATAGAAAGCAGCAAAATTCTCTCTCTCTCTTTTTTTTCATGCAGTTATTTTAAGAAAGAGACACAGAGGGAGCTCGGCCCTCCCGTTACTATATCCAAACACATAAGAAGCTCTATGTCTGTGACGCTCTGTTAGGATTTCACAATTTATTTCAACAGACAAGTTCACTATCACTGAGAGCTTGTTGAAGATCATTAATATTTACAGAAACAGATGGCTCAAAAATGAGTTTATCACCGGTGAGCACTCATGAAATATTTTATTTAAAGACTCCCCTCGTCTGCCATTGGTCGGGAAACAGATACAGCCCCGCCCCAATCTCATGCCATTGGTTGAGCAAATGTTGATGTTTGTGATGCTGAAAACAAACATGTTTTTTTTAGCACCAAAGAGCCGCAGTGTTTACAATTAAGCAGAAGCCAGTTACAAATGACTTATAGTTGTCTCTAATAAAGGAGTAGTTCACTTTTAAAAAAAACTTTTGCTTTTTACTGTCATCCAAGATGTCCATGTCATTCTTTCTTCAGTCGAAAAGAAATTAAGGTTTTTGATGAAAACATTCCAGCATTTTTCTCCATATAATGGACTTCAATGGGAACCAAACGGTTCGAGGTCCAAATGAGAGTTTCAATGCAAACTGCAAACTGTTCAGAGGGCTTTAAACAATTTCAGACGATAAATAAGGGTCTTATCAAGCGAAACGATCGCTCATTAAAAAAAAAAAAAAAAAAAAAGTTTAAGTTTTATAAGCTCAAATGTTCACCTTGCTCTGTCCTGTGATGCGCGTTTGTGACTCTCCTGTTCAAAATGAACAAATATTTTCCAGTCAACTTGTTCATTTCATTCGTTAAATGAACCAAATGACACGAAAAAAGATTCGTTCATTTTGATGAACCAGTTTGAACAGGAGAGTCACAAACGCGCATCACAGAACAGAGCAAGGCGAACATTTGTGCTTTTAAAACTTAAACTTTTTTTTTTTTTTTTTAAATGAGTGATCGTTTCGATAGATAAGACCCTTATTCATCGTCTGGAATCGTTTAAAGCCCTTTAAAGCTGCACTGAAAGTGTCTTTTGGACCTTGAACCGTTTGGTTCCCATTGAAGTCCATTATATGGAGACAATGCTGGAATGTTTTCATCAAAAACCTTAATTTCTTTTCGACTGAAGAAAAAAAGACATGGACATCTTGGATGACATGGGGGTGAGTAAATTATCAGCTAAAGTTTTTTTAAAAGTGAACTACTCCTTTAAGAATAAAACGTATTTGACATAAAATATACTCCTTTTAAAAGGAGCTGCAATTGTTGCCTCAACCGCGGTGGAGCTATTTTTATTCGGCTAATGAAAGATAGGAAAAGGGAAAGTGTATGAATTCTAAAACACATTACACGCTTCAACTTTAAAATAACTACTAAGGGGGGAACAAAAACATACATTTTCCACGTTGTTTAAAAGAAAGATTTGTGCAATCTGCACGACCATTACTTTCACTGTACATTTCAATAATTTCAACTCTGCCTCCAATGTGATACATCGACAACTGAGCGGCAACAAAAGCGTATTGCACTTCAAAATTGGCACGTTCATAATCACAGAAGTTTTACATACATCATTAGTACTTCATGTCGACTGCAAGTGTTGGCTAATGTAAAGAGAGAGTGCTGGTACATCCATCATTCACTGGCACATGTGCGTCTTTAACGTATATACAGAGAATTAACACTCTAGAACTTCACAGCAGAGAAAAATACCGTACTGGAAATAAACAACACCGTTAGCAGAGACTGTCGCCTCTTTATACACTGATGATCAAACATGTAAAATGTGAGGGATAACTAATTATGATTGTCAGTCAGTGGTGATGCAGTAAATTTGGTTGGCTTCATAGATTGACATCAGAGATTGTACTTGTAAAGGGTTGGGGTTAACGCTCTCTCAAGCTTTAAAGGGATAGTTCACTTTGAAATTCATTTTTGGTATGTTTTAGCTTACCTCAAGGGCATCCAAGATGGAGGTGTCTTTGTTTTTCAATATTTTTCGGTCAAACAGTTCTTGTCTGTCAGATATATATATAATGCAGGTCTATGGTCACCACCTCAAAGAGCATGCACAGAGAAGTCCAGATTTTGTCACAAGGACACGAGCAAGGACTTAAATTCAGAGGATGGATGTGTAATGAAAAGTAGAAAATAAATCCAGGATTTAACAAAACAGACCACGAGTTAAAAAAAATCAGAACACGAGTAGATATCATATGCACAGGACTACAACCACAAGGAGATTAAATAGGGGAATAAACAAAGGAGGGTAACGACCAGGACAGGTGGGACAAATAAACCAATAATCAGTTCAATCAAGATGGGAGGGGCTAGACAATAGACACAAGGAAACACATGACAAGCCATGTGCTCATGGTGGGTTCTATTATTCATCCGTCTCTGAGATCCCAATTCGGACGACAGACGTTGCCTAGCAACCGTGAGGACACCGAGCAAGAAATCCGTTTCGGAATTCAAGATGGCCGCGCCCAGTGACTTGTAAAAATGAATTGTTTTCATTGTTTTTGAACCGCTTTGGTATTTTAAATGACGATTATAATCACTCGTATTACTGCGTCCCCTGTGGGTATGGGAATCGGTTGTTGTGAGTGCAATTACTAACGTTGCTAGCGTTGCTAACATAAGATTAACATGAAAAACATTAAATAAAGTGAACATTTTCAAGTTCAAATGGTGTTCAAATGATAAGGTGTAGTCATATATGAAGAGTTCAGATGCAAAAGCCTCTAAATGCCATTTGAAATTTTCTTCTTTAATGATGATT